CCAGGCCCGGAGCCGACCCCGTCGCTCCGCCCTGCGGAATCGGTTGTCAGTGACGACTCCGACCCAGGTAGTCAAGCCCCCGTGGCTTCGTGTCCGGTGGCCTTTGGCGTTGGCTTAGCTTTCCCGGCTCCGCCCCGACACCCGCGATCGTATTGCTCGGCTCTGCATGCGTATGGGTTCGCCGCCTGGGCCCGGCCCGGCGGCCGCCAAGCCAAAGTCCCTTTTCCCCTTGGCGGGCCCGGCCGTGCAGACCTCTAAGTCGTCCTTCCCGCAGGCGACTCCAGCTCCCACGGTGCCCGAGGTTCGTGCTCCGCCTGCCCCGCTGGATGAGCTTGGTTTCCCTCCGGAAGTCATGTCGGATTCCTCGGTGCCTAAGGCGCAGGCTAAAGCATCGTTCCCGTCGGCACGCCCTACCGTGGTACATCCGCTCCCGTGCCTTGTACAGTGTCCGACGCCGGGGTGCTACAACCAATGCGGCCGTCCGGTGTATGGGCGCAGGCACCGCAATCACTTGTGCCGCGTCTGTCACCGCCTCCGAGGCTGACCTATCAGGAGAAAAAGTTGTCCTCTGCCCTGCCTTGTGGTCGCATGCTCATGTTCTCCGTTCATGTTTCTTTCTGTCCGCAGCCATTTTGCTCACTCTGCAGGTAGGCTGTGCTGCCTTGGACTTTGGCATTATGCCCCCAGCTTCGCGGCTGGATGACCCTTCGGCCCTCGCTGACTTCTTGTCCTCTATCTCTGCCCCGGATACCCTGGCGGCCGCCATCAAAAATGCTGGCTTTCACACGTTGGGTGCTTTGGCCTTCGCTCTTTCTGACCCCTCCGATCCGGATGAGGTTATGAGGTTCATCCGGGTCATTCTGAAAATCCCTGACGGCGATTCCGCCGCCACCTTCCGCCCGGATGTATCCTGCCTTCGCCGCACCGTTCTGGAGGCTTGCTCTATCGCGCCTCCCCGTGCCGCCTCGGCTGCTGCCCCGTCACAGTTGCAGCCTATCGCTCCTTCTGTTTCGACTTCCAACAAACTTACGGCGGCTGACTTCCTTGCCCTTCGCAAGGACTACCTCACAAAGTATCCGGGCGAATTGCTGACACCTGCGAATACTCCGTCCGTTGAATTTTTGTCTTTGATCCGTCAGCA